CTTCCACCTCCAACTTCTCCCCACATAACCGCTTCCATTCATTTAACATTACACAACCACATGCATGTAAAGCACAATAAACAACAATTTCACCGTAAAAACAGGATCGAACCACAAACAGGCATATATAGACACGACATCCCAATCCATAGTTCTACTCACCATTAACATTTACTACAGCCGTAAGAAACAACAAAAGCAACTCAACACACAGAGACATGTATTGATGGCAATTAACAACCCAAGAAGCCTCACTGTATAAAACGACAAACTTTTGACACACCACGTCGTATTAATGCAGGTAAACGCTCACGCTGTTGCCCACACAGCCACAGTCACCAATGCCGCCACCGCCACCGACACTTCAATTGGTCTCCACCTGCCTGGTGAGGTAAAACAAAAATGATTTAGCTGTCGCGCATTCAAGTAAGGCCTAGTACATCAGATATATGCATACCTATACTTTAACCAACTGCAAGAAATTATATTGGACAAAAATCGAGTAAAACGAGGGGTCAGTACAAATTGAAAGGTATAAATTAATTCGGAAATGTTAAATGAAGCAGTTGAATGCATAGTGAGAAAATGCGAAGTCATGGATACATCGATACGTTGATCAGCGAGTTGTATTGTGCTGCTCCGTGACTACATATTTACACCAGTACTTGAATGCCGTGGAAAAGGCGTTCGTTGTTCAAACTCTGCTTTGTTGGGGAGGACTGTGAATCCAACCTTTACATATAGTTAGGATGCATGTGTTCTGCTCAACGTGATGTCTTCCTCCACGTAGCGAGAAGTCTCAGGACACTACACAGTGCATGCATTACTTTGGCGTACCTCCTCCACTTCCGAGTGTATCTCACCTGCAATGCATAATGATTTATCTTTGAGCGGCAGCCTTCATAAGGAGGGTGAGACGATGAATGGGAAGGACGAAGGGGAGGTTACTGTATGGCATGTTATCCTGATTACGCTTGCGTTTGCAAAGCGCAAACACGTCATGATGGACAATGTAAGACGCTGACACTGCATTTGGTGTAAGGCATTAGGAGTGTACAGCAACATGCATTGAAGGAGAAGCGGGATCGACTGGTATTTGGTAAATAAGCACATTAAGATGTGCATGTGGAGAACACCGGAGCATCAATGAGCTCCCACCCTCCTCCACCTCCTCCTCCTCCTCTACAACGCATCTTACAATGCGCGTCGTCTGTGCGTGCTTAAGTTACCGGAGGACTGCAGACATTGAGAGACCTAAGAAGTGTAGAGTTGGGATGGATGTGACGCGGAGGCTAGAGGCAAAGCGGAGCGATAGAGAAATCAGGAGGAGGAGGAGGAAGAAGGAAGGTTGAGGGTTGGGAGCAGTGTAAAAGCGTTTAACATAGGTCAACTTAGTGTAAAGGTAGCAAAGGTAAGGGTAGAGAGGCGAAGAGAGGCGGAGGAGAGGAAGGAGAAGGTGTGAGAGAAGAGGAAAGGAGAGGAGAGGAGAGTAGAGGAGAGATATAATGGGAGAATCACGTGCGGTGGTATGTGTGAGTGGAGGAGGAGGAGGAGGAGGAGTTGGGGGGAAGAGATGAAATTCGTGTTGTGTGGAGCAGGTCGGTAGAGGTTGTTCTGAAGCATACTACTGAAGTATGGTGGGAAGAGTGGATAAGAGAGGGGGGATGCATGAAGTGGTGAAGGGGTGGGATGATGAGGGAATGGAGGATGGAAGGTGATGTGATGTTGGCAGAGTGGTGTGTATGAATGTGCACCAGCACAAAAGATGGTGGGCAGAGGGTGGGAAGGGAATGGCATCAAGGGGTGTGATGAGGCAGTGGTTAGGTGAGTGGTGGTGTGGAGGCTAAGATCGTACTTCTAGGGATCACTCCTATAGTACGCATCACCAAGACGCCAGTCAAAACTGGTTCCGACTACCCAACCATGATGACGACACGTGTTGGCCCTCCGTAAGCGTGAGACGGTGTTGGGCTGTCAGCGTGTGCTGCAGCAGTGCCTCGTGGTCAATCACTTTGCGTGTGTACGTGGTGTGATGTGATGAGG